TACTCTTAGGTGCTAAGTTATTTTAATCCTAACCCTAACCTAACTACAGTGCAATGTAAAAAATTAAAAAATTACAGAGGGGCACAATTTTTGTGGGTGAGCTACCAAGATAGTAAACCTGAATATTACTTGGGAAAAACTAAACTAGAGAAAACCACCACTTAAAAAATTTCAGATTATTTCGAAGTAGAGATTATACCCATTACAGCTGTTTTCACTATTCCTGGGACACCTGATAAAATTGCTGAATGATTTTCGGCCGATTCGATTGAGTTTGTGATTTTGATGATCTGATGAGTCACCTGAACACTCTAAATCACAAAACTTAATCGAATCGGCCAAAATATCATTTGTCAATTTTATCAGGTGTTCTAGAAATAATGAAAACAGCTGTAAAAAAATCTTTGCCTGGGTATTATTAAATTACCTGGTTATCCAGATGATTTATTATAATCCTATAACAGAAAATTCTACCTAGGTAGGCTAATGAAATTGCTCTTGCAATTTAATTGACTAGTTGAAATTTTTTTAGGTGATGATTTTACTCCGATTGTGAAACTACACAAGTATTACTCGGGTGAATTTACTTGGGTATTACTCGAGTGAATCTACCTGGGTAGCTTTAGTTATTACTCAGTTAACTGGTTAACCGCGGGTAACTCGGGTAATACCCGACTCAGGTATAATCTCTAAACCAGAGAAAAAATTAGACTTAGTAAGGCAAATGCAAGAGGTGGCACTAAGAGAAGAAAAAGAAATCTAATAGCAGAGTAGAGAACTGCAAGAAGATATTGTAACTGTTCAAGGAAAAGAAGATGCAGAAATAAGTTTTAGAAACAGTAGACAAATAGAAACACAGCTACCCATCGAAGAAAAGAAAGTCAAAGAACAGATAGAAGAGCAAGAACAAAAGTTGACAAAGATAGCCAAAGATGCAATGCAAGACATAATTGAAGATAAAGCAACAGAACAAAAAAGAAATCCAAAAATTGAAAAAGAAATTGACATAGTTGGAATACCACTTGAAGACAGCATGTGGGCGCCAAATAGAAGAGACTGTAGTTGAAGCAATAGCCTACTTGTTACATACCAGCACACAATGTGCCAGGTACAATACAAAAAGAACATATAAAGTTTATCAAATGGTTACTAAAAGGGAATGAACATGTTAAAGAAATCAAAGAAGTCTTTAAAAGAGAAAACTTGTGGATTGAAGTAGACTTCAACTGCAAATACAGTAGAAACAAAGCAATACAAAGAATTAGCAAAAAAAAGAATGATTGGTACAAACTAATACCAAAAGAAAGTGAACAAAAAAGGAAAGCAAAAAGCAGACATTGAAATATAGCACAAAAGAAGTAACAATATGGGCTTGGTGCTACAGAAAAGGGAGAAAATGACAATTTTACTAAAAAAAGTTTTTTTAGAGTAACTAATGCAAAATTACCTTAGAAATCACTTTGTCTTATTAAAGAAACATGATTGTCTTAATAAAATTTTGCAATATTAATAAAATACTGTAAGAACACATTTGGATCAGATAAATCTTTGTGTAACATTCGATGTAGATCAGATAAAATTTTCAGATTTTATCGTGTTATGTGAAATTTGGATGATCCTAATCTTAACCAATCAGATTCATTAATTTTAGCTCTTCCATAACGGTAATTGTATTTTTTGATTACATCATTTTTTTTCTAATGTATGCCAGAGTTATTAGTGTAGCCAAAAACCAGTAATCTTATTTATCAGCTATGTATGCATGTAAGTATGTTGTAAACAGCTATGACTTAAAAATGTGAAATACGGGTCTTACTAATACGCAATAACTACTACTACTTAAGATATACTAAATGCTAATCTATGCCGTAGAAGGCTATGATTAAAGTGTGAAAAGACTTGGTTCGAGTTATTAGAGGGATAGATTACAGGATTAAAGCAGGGATGATGATTTTCTGCACCACAGTGGACGCTATGTTGCGTAGTTTATTAAATACAAAATATCCAATTTTTGTATAACAAAATTATCACAGAAAATAATAACTGCAGAAAATCATTGCATCATGAGTCCTTAATAAGTAGTCACGGGATTCGGTCACTAATTCCTCACAATATAGATTTTACTTATTAGTAGAGCAAAAACCTCCAAAGTTGAACTCTAAGTTATTTTTATTGAAGGAAAAAGGTAGCAATTTTATACTTTCACTAAAGATAATAAGTTCATCAAAGGCAATTAGTTGAATAAAGACGATTAGGTGATTAAAGGTGACTAGTTCAATAAATTTAATAAATTAAATAAGTGCAATAAGTGCGAACTTTCTACCTGATTTGCTAAAGTGAATATGCATTCGACCCACAATCCTTTAACAACATATGTTGTAAAAGTGTAATCTGGTTCTAAGATTACTAAATAGTGCAATATACAACTCAACACTACTAAAACAAGACCTAAAATCCCTAATTAGTAGGCTATGATCAAGGTGTGGAGAGACTTGGTCTAAGTTTTGAGGCTTTTGGGTCTTGTAAAGTATGTTACTAGTAGGCAGCATGTGCCGTGCCTAATAAAAAATTTTAGGACACAGGCACAGGCATAGGTAGGCACAATAGTGCCTACAGATACTTTGTGCTGAGCACTTTTGTGCCCACAGACACTTTGTGCCTGGTTTAAGGATGCAGATACTTCTATACCTGTGTGCACTTTTGTGTTAGAATAGAAACTTATGTATCTACAGATATTTTATTATTTCATTTTCAGCTTAAAAATATTAGACATGTAGCTAGACCTAAAAGTATCAGGCCTAGTGCCTGGCACTGCCCGGAACTTTTTTGGGCTGGCACTTTTGTGTTTATGGCATGCCCTAGGCATTAGTGCCTGGCATAGTGCCCAATGTGCCTGGCATGGGCATATGCAAAACTCTAGTTACTAGAACTTGAATAAGTATATCTTTTACTTTAAGTGAATATTGATTGTTTTAATATTAAGGTCTTTACTATATTCTCCATTCCAGGTATACTGCTTAGTTCTGGTCACATGGCTTATTTCAGCACTAAAGGATGCTGAAATCGAATTACATATGTATTTTGTAATAATGGATTTAATCACAAATATAATCACTGTATTTTTATATAAAAAGGTTCTTGATTACTAATATGATCTTTCTCTTTCTTTTTTAATGTACTAAATAATACTGGATTTATTTCGAATTACAGAGACAATAAAAATAGACAAAATGAAATACTAGAATGATAATATAACTTAGAAAACTACTATGCACAGTACTATTATTTATTTCGTAGTTATGAACTCGAAAGGTGAGTTATCCTTTATTGACAGTGAAATTTTGGTGTTTAAACCATTTTTCCTCTACTAATTTTTACTTTGCACTCTTCTGTTATTTCTGCCATATCTACATATCGGCTCTATATGTCATATATTGTATATTTGTCATATTTCACTATATCTACCATATATATATGGCAGATCTGGCAGATTCGTCAAATGTTCAATTTGGTCAAAATGACCCAGTGTCAATTATTACCAGTTTCACTCTCACAAGGCATATACATACGTACGTACATACGTAAAGTAGCACGCAGGTTAAGACTAACAAAAAAATGACAATTTTTTTAAGAAGATTATCTGTAATCTGCCTTATCAAAGGACTTTTTATTGATCTCTAACTTTAGCCTTTAAAAAGCAGGTCTATAGTAAAGTAAGTTGTACAATACAGTAGTGCAGATTCGGACAAATTTATGGAAAATATGCATTTTTTTTAATGTAACAACTTAATAGATATTTTTTATCTATGTATTCTTTTTATTAGATATGCAGCATCCAGTGGATTTGCAACATCTGCTGTATCTTCTGTATCTGGTTGATTTATCAGATTCGAATACATCAAGTAATTCAAACGATAACTTATAATAAAACTTGTAATTTCGTGGATAAGATTAATTTGCATTATCGAACAAAGAAATAGTGTCAATACATAAACTAGTCTTTATTGTCTATAATTATATCTAAACTTCCACACATTCAAATCAGGTTTCTGCAAGTACATACGTACTTGGTACGGTACTATTAAAATATAATATCTATTGTTATAACCTAGAAAGTTATTAACACTCTAGCGCCAAGTTGGTTCAAGGCCATAAGCATATGATTAGTAGATTAAAAGAAAGAGAAAGTTTTTTCTTTCTGAATTGTACAGTTTAGTGTTTACTCTCTAAATTGTACAATTTTTTTATAATAAATTATTAATGCACTGCGAATTTTTAAGGTTGTAGATCTGGTCAATATTGGAATACTGTATACAGTTGATGTGGAAATTTTATCAGTCGAGATACTTCATACAAAATTAGACAATTCAAGTTTATAGCATGTCCAAATTGTAAGGTATCAGGTTTAAAATAGTTAAAGTTATACCTGTACCATGTTATCTTATAGAAGTTATACCTGTACCATGTTATTTTATATAATTGAAAGAACCAATACCGATACAGTAAAAAAAATTTTCATAATACCATACCCATATCCATTGTATTGTTTATATAACAATTTCAATTTTATTTTCTTCTACTGTATGGAATTTTTTGTGCATCTTAACTAAAAAAAGAATAATTCTTGTTTTGCATATGTAGAATTAAAAAACATTTTATAAGCGTGATATTAAGTATAATGATAGCACTTAAAGTTTTGTAAAAACAAAATGAATTTAACACATTCATTAGTTTCACCAATCTTTTTAGAAACACATCCTGAAATTGATTTATTAACAGAAAATTTTAGCCAACTTAAGATCTTTTACCAAACTGAGAAAGATTATGAAATTTTTTCTGAAAACACGTGTAATATAGAAAATGAAGAAGAATTGCAATATTTCGATAATCAAGTTATTACTCTGTTGCAAATTAAAAAATTTCAAATAATATTTTCTCAAAAACCTATTAAAGAAAATAATGAAGAACAAGAAGTTAATAAAAAATTAACTATTATTTTAGATCAGCAAGAAAAAGATGCATTTATTCGTAAACTTTGTATGACAGTTTGTTATAAAACCAAAACATGTTTAACCAAAATCGACCATGAATCTGCATTTAAAAATTTTGATAATATTTGAAAATTAACAAAAGTTGAGTACAATATGTTTTTATTAGGAATACTTCATGCAATGATTCGTCCAAATAAAACTTTACGTGGTAAATAAAAACAATACTTAACTGTAAAATATACTTTTGATGGAAATGAAATTTGTAAAAAGGCATTTCAAAAAATAGGAAAGTATTCGTCAACACTATCATGTAAATGGTATTAAGCCTATTAAGCATGCACTTTTAGGAAGAAAATCTCATAATGCTCTATCATTTGCGACTATCTTAAATGTTCTTACATTTATCGTTAACTTTGCAAATTGTCATGGATTGCTGTCACCAGGTAATATTATTATTTTAAAATTATATGAAATATTATTTCCCATTTTACTAATTGTTGATTATGGGGTTTTCATTATTATTTTTGAGCACAACATAATCAGTAGGGAAATAGTCTTCAATCATCAATTAATAAAATGGAAGAATAACATATTTACTGTACAGCATTGCATATAGTATCTTCTAGAAAAGTATCTTCTTTAAATAGTACCGTATTATTCAATTGTAAACTTTAACATTTTTGAAATGTATCCTGGTACTAATCAAGTATATAGTAATTTATCAGTGATCAACAGTTATTTTGCCAACACTAACATCGTATAGGGTGACAATTTAGCATGTTATGAGTTTTAGCATACTTGATTTGTAAATTGTCATGTTATGTAAAATAATTGTCAGTAAAATAATACGAAGTCGTAATTATTATGTTCATGATCTGAATCAATAATCTTGTTATATGATCAATGCTCTCTTCAAAGTACTCCTCATATAGTACCTCCTCTTCACACAGTACCCAGGATATTATTTAATTTATTATGGCATTTTGAAAAAGACCAGGATACTTATGCAGCGCTGTATCGTATTCCCCATTATGGAGAAAATTTTATTATTTTCCAAAAAACAGAAATAAATAGCATATATTAACAAAATTACTTTTATTAGGCTGGCATTTTTGAAAAGACACTATGGCTATTACATTTCTTCCTGCTAGTGAAAGTTATTCTGGACTATATCATACTTATCAATCAAATTTAGAAGAAAATTCTGATCACCAGATTAGTCAATCATCGTTTATGCAAATTTGGAAAAAATTTGTACCAGAAATTCGTTTTTTATCCCCTAGAAGTGATCTCTGTATGCTTTGTAAAAATATGTAGTTTAATACTCAATATTGGACAGAAAATGAATGAGATTATAATATTTAAGAATGGAGTAATCATATCAAATGGGCGAAGCAAGAAAGAGAATATTATAAGTATAAGAATTAATAATTTAAGTTTTTTTTTATTATCAATATAGCTATTTTATAGAAATTAAATTTTTTAGACAATGCATATTAAATACTAAACAACAGTTAAAAAATATTATCAATTTATCTAAACTTTCACGTCCGGGGATACCAAATTCTTTAGAATTCGAAAATCATATCTTGTGGGACTTCGCTGAAGCTGTACATCTTCCATTTTCTTCATAACAAGAAGTATTTATATCTTATTTTTCTGATAGCTACAGATCATTTATTTGTCATTACATAGGCACCAATTTACTAATAATAGGGTTTCAAAATTACTTATTTCGAAAATAATTAAGGATTCTATTTTCTGCTTTAAAATTCTAAATTAGAAAATTAAATAGGCATGGCCAATGAAAATTAGCTTTATTTAATAAATGTTTACTAGTAATGATTTCTAAATAAGTATATGCTTTAAAAAATAGATTTATATATCACTTCTTCTAAAATAAATATATTAATTATTTTATTTGAAACCAGATGCTGAATATTAATTCTGAAACCATCCAATATACTATCCGACTTCTCTAAGTGCACATTTTTAGGACTACACTTCAATAACGTGTATTTAAAAAAAAGCATTTATAGGTCAAGTGCTAGATTCGAGCCAGAATTTGATTAGAGAGGGTGTGAACATATAGAGAGTGCACTTAGAAAGGTCCGACTGTATATTTGCAACTAATTAAATATTTTACTCTATATGATATTGAGTAAATGACTGTAGAAAAATGATTGTTAAAAAATGAGCAGTTACCTTTATTAATAAATATTATAATATTATTAAGGGATCTATTTACTTTAAGCCTTTGTACAAAGTTTCGATTTTTGAAATATGTGAGGATGCTTTTTCTCAACAGGTTTTAAGTATTAATAATTAAAAATTTAATATATGTAAAATTCTACATTAATAATCTAAAAATAATTTACCATTATATTTTTTTTAGAAAAATTATTTAATTAAAGAAAGTGAAGATGTTGAAAAAGGGGCAAATGTAGTTATCTCAATGGTCCATCATTATTTTGAAAATCACGACCTCGGAGAAAAATATATTACAATCTATGCAGACAACTGTTCGGGTCAAAATAAAAATAATGCAATAATAAAATATTTAATATGGCATATTTTGAATAATTTGCATAAAAGAATTATATATTCTTTTATGGTAGTAGGCATACTAAATTTTCTTCCGATGGTTTCTTTGGGTTACTTAAACTGAAACTTCGGCATTCTGAAGTAGATAACTTGGCGGATTTGGTTCAGGTCATTCAAAACTCTACCATCGGGGGTTATAATACAGTACAAACTATCTGTGACCAAAATGGTACTCAACAGGTTCAATTTTACAAGTGGGCCAAATTTTTTGATGAATTCTTCAAGAACATTCCACAAATTCTTAAGCAACATCACTTTATTATTTCGTCAGATAAACCTGGGATAGTAGAAATGAAATCAGCAATAAGTGAAGAAAAAACAGAAATAACATTATTAAAAAAAAAATAAAATTAATCCATTTCCTTCATCTACTCTTCCAGCTCCCCTTTTAGCAAAAAATTTAACACCAGAATGACAATGGTATTTGCATAATCAAGTTCATAATCATATCCGTGACCCAACTAAAAGAGATGAGTTTTGTCCATTACCATCTGTACCCTGTCCTATAGCAAAACAAAATCAATAAAATTTTTTATTGTAAATGGTATCTATAAACAAGCTATTCTCATACATAATAATTTTTTAATACAAAACTAATATATTATATTTGTTAGGAATCTTATTTTTGAATTGAATACCCGTAGACAAGATACTTCATATAAGAATATGCACAATACATATAACATTAATGTATTTTATAGCATGGGTGGTGAACTATATTTGGTATAAGAATATGGTAAATTGTAGTAGTCTAGTCATATATTTTGATTTATTCGTTAATATTTATTAAAAGTTTTTTAAGAATATAAAGTCTAACTGATCCCAAATATCCAATTTTCAATTGTAACTGATCAAATTACTATGTAAAATAAAAGGAATTTTATTTAAATACATTAATTTAATCAAATATCTTAACACCAGATGCGCATGTAAATTAACGCATTTAAAAGATATATATGATTTTGTAAGTAAATAAATTTAAATAGCTTAATTTAATTATATCAAGTAATAAAATATTTTACACTTCTTCCGAATCAATGCAAATTAATTAAAAGGAATTGTATGATAGTAACGTTACAATCATAAATGGCCTATTTTAAGTATGTTATTGTATTATTATTAGGGAAGAACCTTTCATACTTTCATTGCCAAATTATAGATCTGAATCGTAGATATCGAATGGTTTAATGTTTAAGTGAATGGATACTTGCTTATCAAGAGACGACGAAATAATTGAGGTATGAAAAACTTGAACAGTTAAACTACTTAATGCGATCAGTATACACAGTGATTATTTTTCACTGTGCGGACTGTACGCAGCACACAGATACAAATCTTGTGCACATTTTTTTTAAATAGATGTGCAGATGCTGCACAGAAAAAATTAATCTTCTGTATATAGTGTGCATAGTTACAAACAGTTGCTCATAAATTTTTTATATTCGCTGTATAGAAAATGATTACAAATTGTGTGATATCCACACAATAAGTTTTAATTGAAAAATAAACACTGAGTATGCATATAACTTTTATTTTAGATGATACGGTTTTCGCTCGTGGATTATAATTTAAATATTATACAGTGTAAATAAAAACTTATAATGTACAGGATACAATCTTAAATAATTTATTCATTGATTATTAAATGATTCTAAATTCAATAAACGTTATGTAATGGTACTATCACATATAAAATATAAGTCATATGTTATCTGTTATACAAGGTCTGGGTCTGCAGAAAGGGGGGAAATCGACAAATTTTTCAAAAAAGTTTTTTTGTATAAATCAATTTATAATAAGATTAGGATCATTTTTTACTTAAGGCACAAACTTAGTTGTATTAATAAAATCTTGCAGAATAGCTCTTTGAAATCCGTATTTTCTTATGATTTATTATAAAATTCAAAGTATAAAAATTAATTTTTCGAAAATCTTTTTTTTGTCGATTTCCCCCCTTTCTGCAGCACTGATCAGGAATTTTCGTAAGTGAGTTAATCATCTGATCTATTTTTTCAATGTCTAAATTTAGTCAGATGCATGTAGATCTTTGTTGTGTTCAAAACACATAATTTTGTAAATGTCGATTTCCCTCTTTTTTGCAGAACACAGCCCATATAATAACTGAAGGGAAAACAGTTAATAAGAAAGATGATGAGATCAAAGAAGACATAAATTACAATGAAATTAATGAGAAGCTAGATGGCAGCAAAAGATTAACAATATGGGACTTGCCATCAGATATTAACAAAAAAGAGCTAGAATATATTTGCAGAAGATTTAAAAA